CCCTAGAAGTCAGATGAATTGATTCAGTGCATTTTCAGGCAAAAATTCTTCCAGTCCCAGTGGTGCCTTGTTGTCTGGCAGACCTGGGTGCCTGTGACTACCTCAGGAGGGTGCTGTGTCATTTGTGCTAGGGGAAAATTTGTATTTTGTCTCCTGGGGATCTTTTGTTACCCATCTTGCACCATAGTTCACTTTGGCTTCCAGAGGCAGGGCCCCTAAAGTGAAGCCAAGCTGAATCCCTTCCACAAGCCATTTTCCCTTGAGAAAGACTTGTGCCTAGATATTTGAGTATCCTTTAATGAAATTGATGTTATAAATAGCTGTCATTAAAAGCATATGGAAAAATCTTTCTACCCATTTGTGTCTTATTTATCCTTGTCTTGTAAAAATTGAAAGTACGTTGTGTAAATTAATTACACCTTGTAAAATCCAAACCAGGAGGTAGTAGTGTATCCACATTTACAGAGTGACTGTACTAGCACTTCCCATATCTTTCTTTGGTGGAAATGGTCACACAGAGGTGTGTAGAACATCTCCCTCATCAGCACTGTGGTGGCTGTGGTCACATGTATTTGTGCAGTAACTGATTTGGGAAGACTGGACCAGATCCTTGGGTGGTTTGCAGAGCTCCAGTGGGTACCACTGAGCAGAACTCTCCAACAGTGAAGTCATCTTCCTGCTTCCCAGGACAGTGATGGTGCAAAGGGCCAATTCCACCCTCAGCCCAACTCATGGTGTCCTTGACTCTGCTCTAACTCACGTTGGCTTGTGGTGGGTTGATAAATCCATTGCACTGGCAGGGTGTAAAATCATCTGGTGATGCTCCTGGGTTCCCTTAACTGAAGACGTGGGTGGAAGTGGTGGCACAAATCTAGTTAGGTTGGGAGAATTTACACAGGATTAGTGAAGACAGTTTAAGTATGTGCTGGGCATCAGATTCTGACACTAAGTATGGATCTCCTTAAAAATTACACCCCATTTAATATAAGAATTTTGTTCTCCATTCTGTGAGTATGTGCAAACTACACATGATAAATCCTCTAAACTAATCCTCTAACCTCATTTAGGATTGCGTGCTACAGATTCTATCAGATGGTCCTTTTAATTAATTAAGAAAGAGAGAAAATCCTGTGCTGTTCTTTAAAGGTACTGAGGCTCATGAGGCAGCTCAGCTACATAATAGTGCTGCCTGGGGTTGGGGATGTGGAAGAGTTCTGTGTTTTGGAGAGCTCTTAGTGTGCATTTGTACAGCAAAAGCCACTTTTCCTGCCTTGCACCTTTGTGGAGATCTGAATCCATTCCACACAAGGGCCTGGGAGGAGAGCCACTGCTAAAGGAAGTTTATCCCTTCCCCTTCTAAGGGAAGTTTGGGAAGAGCTGCTTTAGAATAGTTTGCTTTTTTTCACTTAATAGATTAGGAGTAATTTAACATCTTAGCCTTCAAAAGGAGGGTACTAATCAGCTACGTTTCAAATTCCAGTTCCTCCCTAATAGCCATTTACAATATGAAAAGAAAGGGTGTGGGTAATGGCTGCTTCTGAAATTGATGTTGTTTGGCTGGAGGGTGTCTCCTGGGAGCAGTCCTGGAGATGCACAGACTGAGCTGGTCCTGTGGCCAGAGCTTCCCTGCAGGTGTGCAGTGTGTGTTACTGGCTGTACGTGCAGGCAGAGCAGCCTCTGCTCAGGCCAAGGGTCGGCCGTGGTGGGTTATCCCCAACGTCCTCCTGCACCTGCATCTCTGTGCCAGGCCAGGCTGAGAGCCCTGGGGCTGCTGAGCTGGAGAAGAGAAGCCTCAGAGGGGATCTGAGCAGTGCTGAGCAAGAGCTAAAGGGCCCTGGGGGGCAAGAGGCTGGGGCCAGACTCTGCTCAGTGGTGCCAGGGACAGGACAAGGGGCAACGGGCACCAACTGGAACCCAGGAGGTGCCACCTGAGCAGGAGGAGAAACTTCTCTGCTGGGAGGGTGCAGAGCCTGGAGCAGCTGCCCAGAGAGGCTGTGGAGTCTCCTGCTCTGGAGAGATCCCAAACCCTCCTGGCTGTGACCCTGGGCACCCTGCTGGGGGTGAGCTGCTGGAGCAGGGGGGTGGAGGAGATGATCTCCAGAGGTACCTTCCAACCCCACCGTTACGTCACTCTGATTCTGCCTCAAAGCTTTTTGTAGTAAACCTGATGCTGCTGTGGCACAAGACACATTTGAAAGGATTTTTCTGGATTTGTCAAAAAAAAACAAAATACGACTGAAGACATTCCAAGCTGACCCTTGATTAATGATGGTTGTGAAGTCCCTACAAATAAAGCTGTGCCTTTGATAACTGTACCCACAGCTCAAGCTCATCGCTTCCTTCCCTGCTTGCTTTATCTGCCTGGAGGTTGCCAAGTCTCCTCAAGGACCAGGTAATTTTTCATGTTCTGTGAGCACTCCTGAAATCAGAAGGGGTTGATAGAGGAGATGGGTTATCATCAGTCCAGAGGGTGTCCATGTGAAATTCAGGCTGTAGTTGGTCAAGAGCCCTTGAGCAGGGAGGGTCTGCTCTGAACAAAGTGGTGGCTGGGTGGCCACCTCCAGCTGCCAGATTGCATTTGGTCTTGGAGCCAAATTTCAGCAGGCATGCATGTATCTACTGGGGCCAAAGCATGACATCATTAAAGAAAACCAGAGCAGGAGCATTAGTGAAAATGTCAGTGAAAATTAGTGAAAATGTTAGTGAAAAGGTAGAAAATGTCAAACTTGAAGACCAAATGGGTAAGTAAGGCAACTTACAAGACAACAACATGAATTCTGAACACTATGGTTGTATGATTTTTTAAATTCAGATTTTTAGAGTAATTTTTAATTTTTGTTTTCCTTCCCTACATTCTCAAAAGCACAGATGATCTCCTATATAAATAGTTGCATATCTTGGCAAAACATCCACTACTTTTAAGTACAAAAGCAGGGTGATGTAGGTGCCCTGGGAGTTAAACAAGAATGAGCCCTTCTTTACATGACTCTCCTGAAAAACGATGACATTTAGAAAACTTATACAAGCTCATTTAGGTACAGCAAGAATTAGGTTAATGAGACTTCAGCTGCGTGCCAGTGCCAGGCCACAACAGGTAGAGAATAATCAAGAACTTTCCAAAGGCCTGGGAAAAACAGGATGGATTGAGGATGAAGATTGGGTTGAGGATGAAGAGGCACCTTCCTGCTGGTGAAGCACACCGGTGTGTGAAGTGTGGGCAAAGAGAGGAAGAGGAGGGTTGGTGGGTTGGCTGGTTTTGTTTGGTCTTTTAACTACACCAGGAAGTGTGAAATACACCAGGAGGGATTTTGAAAAGCAGACAGTTTAATCACTTAATAGATCTCTCTTTATTGCAATCATGATTTAACAGGGAAGTTTCCCTCTTCTGAAAGAGAACAGGTACTCTCTAATAAATTAGATGAAGCACATAATTTTATGTTAAATACGACTCAAGGTTTTTAAGGATATGGAGTTTGCAAACTTGAGTACATATAAAACTGAATATGTATAAATCTGAACTCTATTAAGAGCATAAATGGGAAATAACAGGAAAATTTTCTGTATATGATCCTTAAACTGAGAGAACAAAATTATGTCACCATATAATTAAAGACTGACGATGAACACAGACCATATTTAAGTTGGGGCTAGATGTGGAATATTAATTCAGACATTTGCTAACTTTTGAATGTTTCATTTTGTGATGTTAATAACATTCATTTAACACGTTACCTAGCTTTCCTTACAGTATCTTGGAGAGATGTACTTGAAATTACTTTAAACAGGTAAATGGGACTTAAGATTGATGGATGTGCTTTATTTCTTCCTGCCTCAATGACAAAGGAGAAAATAACTGGATGTATAAACAGAATCACTCTATCAGATCATTTTGGTCTATCAGGCCAAACTAATGCTTTTCCTGCTTTCATTTCAGCCAATAACATGTTCCTAGGCACAGACAGGAATATTCTGAAGTATCTGCTTTTCCATATCCACCAGAATTATTTTTCTGTGGTTCTGTGAGGCAGAACTATTTTAAATTCCAATTCTACCACAATCGTGACTAAAGAAAACATTAATATTGCCATCTTAAACACATATTTTGCAGCCTTTCTAAAAAGTGTGTGCATAGATTATTTGTCTATTTCATATACAACAGAGGTGTTTGGGATTTTGTTTTCTTACAGAGGAAAAAATAAAAAGTGCACAAACAAATGAATCCCAGCAGGGTGGGGTTGGAAGGGACCTCTGGAGATCATCTCATCAACCCCCTGCTCCAGCAGCTCACCCCCAGCAGGGTGCCCAGGGTCACAGCCAGGAGGGTTTGGGATCTCTCCAGAGCAGGAGACTCCACAGCCTCTCTGGGCAGCTGCTCCAGGCTCTGCACCCTCCCAGCAGAGAAGTTTCTCCTCCTGCTCAGGTGGCACCTCCTGGGTTCCAGTTGGTGCCCGTTGCCCCTTGTCCTGTCCCTGGGCACCACTGAGCAGAGTCTGGCCCCAGCCTCTTGCCCCCCGGGGCCCTTGAGCTCTTGCTCAGCACTGCTCAGATCCCCTCTGAGGCTTCTCCTCTCCAGCTCAGCAGCCCCAGGGCTCTCAGCCTGGCCTGGCACA